TTTTCAAACAAATACTAAGACTGCAAGATGCTATCAGCTGATTAATTTGGTTAAAAAATCATCCGGCTACCGGTGCCGGACACGGGAGCTGTCAGCATCAGATTCCGGGTGCAGATACCGAAACGACGGTGGTGGCGCACAGCGGATGGCACAGGAGTTGGGGCGCTCCGCGGGAACATAGAATAATGCTTTCAGTTCCCGAAATCCCGACCCGTGTCCGGTGCAGAGACAAGAGACCCTCCACTAGTAACTTGGCTATGGTGGAAGCTTTTACTTTCGGGACTTCAGCATTCTACTGTTGACTTACCTACATGGTTGATGTTCAACAACGTGTTGGCAGTTTCGTTTTGCAAACAAGCCGAAAATGGCCGACGTTTGGGAAAGTTGTTTGGCTTATGACGTCATCCGAAGCTCATCATCGACCATGTAGGTAAGTCAACAGCCGAAAATATGGTGATGACTGTTGCTCGCTCATAATTGTCCATAAGGAATTGTTGAAACCCCGAAAGTAAAAGCTTCCACCTGTCGCTAGGAGGCCAGTGGAGGGTCTCTTGTCTCTGGTCCGGTGCCAGTCAATAGTCCCAAATACCTAGAGCTAATGTAAATCGCTTGTAATTCCAAAATTGTTCGACTTAAACGAGAATCAAACAGACTCATTTTAAAGAGCGCACAATTTCCCATCAATCGGTATCAAAAAATTCGTCCAAAAAAAAAAAATTCCTGTGACCGAAAGATTACGTTTCATTTAGCCACAGCTCATTTAGCCACATGGCAAAATGCAACAAAAAATGTTGCATCTTGCCACAGATTTTAGGTGCTATGTGGCTAAACGAAAGAAGAAAAGTTAGTGTGGCAAACGTGGCAAAGTGCAACAAATTATGTTGCAGTTAGCCACATGGCCAAAGGATAACACCAGGTATCTGCATTGCAGCGTTACCGAACCTAATCGAAACGAACTTGACCTAACCTAACCTAACCTAACCGAACCTAACCTAACCTAACCTACCTAACCTAACCTAACCTAACCTTACCTAACCTAACATAACCTAACCTTACCTAACTTAACATAACCTAACTTAACCTTACCTAACCTTACCTTACCTTATGACCTAATCTAAGGAAAAAAACGTACATGCATGTGGTCAATAATTCCTCCGGATACTTTCCTATTAGTAGATTTTCGTGTATTTCAGCGTAAAGTAGAATCAGTATTGCATTGGTCACTAGTGGAGGATGGGAAAATTATTAAAATAAAAATTGTTTTCAATATAAATGGTTGTTTATACTTTCAATCTATTCCAGATCTTCAATTAAATCACTTGCACTGCAGTAAAATAAGAATGGAAGGATAAATAACAGTTTTTTTCGCTGAATTTGGTAGGCCATTCCAAAGACTGTGGCTAAATGAGCCGTGGCTAAATGCACAGATACCTGACCGAAAAATGGGTTTTTAAAAACGGCCGCGGCAAAAATTCTTATGATGAGAGACCTTTTTTCTCATTTTTCTTTTAAACCGTTGACTTCAGAGGTAAAGCCTTTAAAGTACTTTAGCCCAAAAGAGTGTAAAATTTACTACTTTTTACTATACTAGACAATGATCCTTTTTAAAAGCTTATCTCCAGATCCTTTACTAAAATTGGTATTCGGTAAGATGGCAAAAGTGAAGTGACAGAGGTTCATTGCTGAATGCCGTGATCACTGAATCTTTGGGGTCGAACCATGCAGGATCTTCGGAAAGATTTGGTTTGCATCGTACCTGTAAACCGACAGTTATTATTTTTCCCCTCAGAAATTCAGCTGAAGACGATGAAAAGTATAAACACGTGCTTACCCAATCGGCCCTTTTAATATCACGTAACCAACATCAATCAAAGACATTATGGCTTCACTTTACACCACAAGAGCTGATAAGAATTATATACAACCACCTTTCTTTACTTTTTCCCGCGGCAAAAGTTATTGTTTACGTCATCCGAGCGCCCTAACTCCTGTGCAATCCGCAGTCGCGCCACCACCGTCGTTTCGAAATCTGCACCCGGAAACTGATGCTGACAGCTCCCGTGTCCGGCACCGTACAGCGACCAATACTCTTGAAGGAGGAAGATGTTTTGAGGTTATACCGATGGGTATCTCTCTGAACCAGACTCCTATTAAATTCTGGAGAACAGGTCCATTAAACAAGAAAACTAACTGAAAAGAACAAAGGGGATTACTGAAAACTACCTGAGAAACATAAGTACTTCAATGGGCCTGTTGCAAACTTTTGCTAGAGCAAAACTAAGAGTTGTTTCTTATAGATAATGCCTCAAAAATCACGATGAGCGCATCGGCAAACTCTGAAATGCACTCATAACTTCACAATCTGCGTAAGAAATTTGCGGTTTTTTTAGCTTCCCGCTTCGAAAACGATACTACGGCACAGGTGAACATTTTGTAAGAGGAGTCGTTCCATCGTCGGCAATAATCATCATAGCCGACGCCAATCCGCCAAAACACGTTTGATGGGACGAGATAACACCTGAACTGGATTAGACCAGATAACAATCGGTGTGTTAACGTTCATATTTTCCACGCCCGAATGGATTGACCTTGAACTCTCCTTGAATTACGCGCGGAACTGCGTGCAAGCGTCGGCCATGATGAATATCGCCGACGATGGAGCGACTCCTCTAACAAAATGTTCACCTACGCCGTAGTATCGTTTTTGAAGCGGGAAGCTTAAAAAAACGCAAATTTCTTACGCAGATTGTGAATTTATGAATGCATTTCAGACTTTGCCGATGCGCTCATCGTGATTTTTGAGGCATTATCTATAGGAAACAACTCTTCATTCTGCTCTAGCAAAAGTTTGCAACAGGCCCATTGTTATACAAAATCATTGGAACGAGACAAGCTGGATCTGTGACATTCGGTTACGTGAGAAAAACACAATCTGCAGAATTCATTCGGAAGAAGATAGTCTCCCGTTTGTACAGATACGTTAACATTTTCACTTCGTTACCATGACTTTGGTAGAAATTACATATTGCAACCAGCACCGAACTTGATCCTGGAGGCACAAGGTTGAGAAACAAATAGGCACATGGAGGTTCCTCAGTACTTTCAGTAACCGATAAGCTATGAGACACACAATTCAGAGTTTTCAAATACAAAAACTCAGCACTGTTTTTTAATTATTCAGGGATATGAGAGATGATTTGAGACAAAATGAAGCATTCGACATTACACAAGCGTGAACGTCAACAAAGGAGGTTGATCACAGAAAACAGATCAATAGAACTGACATGGCGTTTTTGTTAACCTAAGCTAAATTTCTCAGTCACCCAGCTCCATCGTGTCCAAAAGGTTGCCGTATCTCTGAACACAATCGCGGCAAATTTAAATATCATTACTTATATGCACTTGTGATTTAAATTATTCTCTTAATTTCCACGATCGGATTCAAAGCTCGTGGCATGCATTCTCATTCTCAGAGCTCGCGACCGTTATTACCGTTACAAAAGCGTTTAAGCCTAGCCGGAGTTACCGAAATTTCAGTGCTCAGAACTGAATTCCTTCACCTTGGAGAACTGACCCCTATATTCGAACATCAGTCTCCTGTACAAACTCGTCCGCCCGGTGAACTAAATATTCAGTTCTCACGACAAAATTTAGGCGAACTAAATCCATCAGTGCCCACCGCCGAAAGAGAAACACACGGAGAAAAACTCCGTGTGAAAAATAAGTATTTACTGGTTTTAACCAAATAAAAAATTGACATTTTCTGGCCAAATTTTGCAATTTCAATGAGAAGAAAATGTAGCAACCGCGCATGCTTTGATCAGCTAGTTTTAAAATTAGCTACACAGTGTATTATGGTAAGGGTTTTCATAATTTTTGGTGATCATTGCAACTCAACATCTACAGTGCCCCGCCAGCCGCGTCATTATCGGCTACGTAACTTGGCAACACCGCATAAGAGGGTTGCAATTCATTAAGGCAGGGTTTGAATCTTTCGAGGACACTCATTTATTTGTCAAGGACTATTATACAAGAAGTTTTAACCTAATTTTACCAGAAGGCGGTGGGTTTTGGTGACGTCACACATTGGCTTTTGCTTCCATTTTAACCTTAAAAATAGAAAATATTGAAAATAAAAAAACGGCCCCACTTACAATCTTGCAGTTTTCAACTCTTCAATCAAGAAATCTTCCATGACACCTCTATCAAACAAAATCGCGGGTAATCTTCAGAAAAATAAAATTTGTTTAAAAGGAACCGTGCCCGATATTCCACTGTTCCTAATTTACTATGAACTACAGGCACTTCATACTATAAATTTTCGATCTTCAGAAAACAACTCGCGTCGCAATTTTGACGTAATATGTGCCCACTTTAGACGACCCCTATCTCTCCAATTTTGAGTCTTGTCCAATGATCTTTTAAGAATTTAAAGAAATAAGATACTGGTTGTGATCGATACGTATTTTCATCTGTGTTAATGCAGATGTTCCAAATCCTTCGTCCTACAAAATCAGCTCAGGGTGTGGATTTTGGTAAGTTGAAAAATGTTTAGTTTTTGTCCCTAGCTTCAAATTTTGACGAACCCTTAAATCACTTTAGGTACACGAGGTGACCGTAAATATGGCCCTCCATGCCCATGTCGAATGAAATTGAACAAATAGATTTTGAGATATTGCTGTTCTCAGAAATCAGGAACGCCGGTAGGATGAATACGCAGGTTTCAAGTACGGTTTTTTTTTACCTAAGGTACCTAAATACGCATAGAAATGATGAAATTTCATTTTCATTTTTATTACAGTCCTCTCACTACGAGAAGGTTGGTAGTAAGCAGAGCCGGTGATAGACGTTGAAGGTTGGCAGCAAAATTCTCTCACCCGTTCTCACCTACGGTTTCCGCCAATCTTGTTGAAACACAGTGGCCGAACTCTGCCTTTATTGGTCCTCAATTCCAGTCAAAATGCGGGATCTAACCATTTTGTGTTATCATTGTGTTGCAGCGGTGCCGTTTCCACCGAGTCATAAGTTAACAGTGGCCGAAGTGTTCGACTCGAGATCGGGGAAGCCGCGTCCTGACGTCCTCAAACAGCACTTCATCCTCGAGGGCCGAATAGACGAGACAGCTGCCCTCCGCATCGTTAACGACGGCGCCCAGCTCCTCCGCGCCGAGAAAACCATGATAGATATCGAAGCACCCGTTACAGGTAACCACTTACCATTGAAAAACACAACCTACATCTTTTTCAATCGAACGTGGAAATGCTTTCTTCCCTTTTCCCTCCTCATCCCTCGCCTTCCAATCCTCCACCTTCTCCTTCTGTTTCATCTGTACCCCTGCTCCTCCCCTTCTCTCCTTCGACCCCCTCCTCTTACTTCTCGTTCTCCTCCTCTTTCTCTTCCTCAATCTCTTCATCCTGCTCTTTTTCCTCCTCCTTTTCTTCATCCTTCTTCTCCTGCTCCTGCTCCTTCTCCTTCAGTCCCTCCTCGTCCTCCTGCAATCCTGCGTCTTCTCCCCGTGCCCCCGCTGTTACTGCGCCCCCTTCTCCTCCTTCTTTTCCTTCTTCTTCTTGCTCTTCCCCCTGCCTCTGCTTCGCCTCTTCCTCCCCGTCCTGTCTTTACTACTTTTTTCTCTTCGTCCTCCTTATAGTGAAGTAAGTACCAGTGAAGCGATGAAAGAACTGTAAAAAACCTCAAAAATCGATTTTCAGTAATATCAGAGCAAATTGAAGGGGACTCGGCTCTTGCCCGACTTCGATTCATCGAACTTCGTTTCTCTTGACCGATCACACTCGCCAGCTGAGCTACCTCCGCGGTCCCCGCCCGCGCCCTTTTGCGCCAGTAGCAGCGAGTGACCGCAGGATCGGTGGTGAGCGTTGCGAATTGCATGTCTCGAAATTTTGTTAGGGATTTGACCCGTAAGCGTTCAGATAATTCACCAGTCACGAGCCATGCACGGAGTTCTATTGTTCTGACATTAACACAGTTAGCATCAGGTTTCCCGCCTGCTCCTTCATAATCTTGGAGATCTCCATCACGGCCACCCCCTTCATCCCTTCTGACTCTCCGTTGACGGAGCTATCGTGGGCCAGACATTTGTGTATGTGCGTGCGTGTATGTATGTCGTGTCCGTGAAGGGTGGATTGAAATGAAAGAAGAAAAGGCATTTTTTAAACTTTTGAGAAGTCCGAAATGTGCCCTCGGCATCGTGACTCGTCAAGAAATTTCAGAAGAGAATAGAGAGCAGCCGTTTGATCATTTTTAAAGGGCCCCGTTTTTACATAACTGCCCTGAAAATCGACCTCGCAATCATCCTTGCGCGTACCTGTTCGGGGGCTATTTTTTACCGTAGATTCCGAATCCTAAGTCAAAACATACCCTTCCTATTTGAAAATTGCGAGAAGCGGGGGGGCGCCCCCCCACCCCCCCCCCCAAGGAGCCATATTGGGGGGCTGAAAATATTTTCATTCGATTCTTTGGGGTCGATTTACCCAATGAAAGTTTTTGTCCCGGAGCTCAATTCTCCGCCGTTTTCGAGAAAAAGATAGTGGACGGGTGGTTTGGATCACCCTGTATATACATATGAGTCGCTTTTATAGCGCTCTTTGGCGCTGTGCGACGCCTAATCGCCACAAAACTCAGTCTTCCCACAGGTCATCAGGGAGTTGACACACCCTCATCTCATTCAACACCCCCCACGGCTCCGTTGAAGGGAAGTTATATGATAAGTGAATGTACATCTTCGATCTCTTCGGCATCTTCAAGTAGGGTAAAAATACTATGTTTTTAGCCAAAAATCGAAATGTGTTGTTCGAGCTCCTCGAAAAATATATCGACTTCTAGGTTTTATTCTCAAAAAAATCACGAAATCGAAGAGATTTCCATTTTTGCAGGAACAAAACTTATCGCAAACTAAAATCCAATTATACCGTTAAAAAGCTCTTGCTTTCAGCTTTCTAATATAACGGTCTATAGGTTTTGTAATTCGAAGCAACTGGCCGCCTATAAACTGAATTTTTCTGCAATCATTTCAAGGAAATTTCCGCCAACTCGGACGGCCGGTTTCCTTGCATTTATCTCGGCCGTTTTTGAAATTAAGAAAGAAAACATGTACACCGTTAGAAAGACCACACTCTCAGCTTTCTATTGGTATAATAACTTTTGAATTTTGAGCAACTCAACGCCGGCACATAGGAATTTTTCGAAACTATGTCCAAAAACGAAGAAAAACGGGTGGTTCCAGTCAAAGTCAATTTCTCGCCACCCAAATGCACCAAAATGAAAAACGAACATGTCGTTAGAAAGGTAAAATCGTCAGCTTTCGAATGGTACCTTGGTTTTTTGTAGTGTTAAAAAATCTTGATTAAAGAATACGAATCGAAGTCTGAGATGAAACCTTGTATTTTGGCTACTCTTTTTTCCAGGAAGGCATCTCTTAATTTTGTAATAAGGCTGGTAACCCCTGCCTTATGGGGTAGTGGAGATGGTCACCGGCTTCAAGGCGTATGAACCACTCATTGGAAGGGCAGACAGGGCTCTCAGCTGTAGTGGAAGCAACCTGTCTAGGAGAGGAAACTCCGAAATCAAACCCCGGTCCTCCAGGTTGGAGGTTGAGTCATCGGGCTAACTCCCCGATACTCGGAAAAAGAAATACTGTTAAAAGACCCAATAACAATTGCCTCGTTACAAATGGAAATAAACGGATTTATCGGAAAAAATTACGTAAACGGATGATGGTTTTTGGAACATGGAACGTACAAGGAATTTCTACGAAAATGACGGAAGTGGTATCGGAGATAGGGAGTCACGGATTTGATGTCACAGTATTAACAGAAACGAAGAAGAAAGGACAAGGCTCTGTAAGTGTAAAGGAATACGATTTGTTTTATAGTGGCGTGGAAAAAGATCAGCGAGCTCAGCAGGGTGTTGCAATTCTTATTCGCAAGAGCCTACGGAAGTGCATCACTACATGGGAAGCTATTAACCCCCGAATGATAAAGATGAATATGGCAGTGTTTGGCCATAAAATCACCATTTTGGGAGTGTATGGAGTCAACGATGATTCTACTGTCGCAGTGAAGGACCAATTTTTTGAAGAATTGAACGAGGAGATCGGCAAGATTGGATCCAGGAGGGAAATCATTGTGTTGGGAGATCTCAATGGTAGAATAGGACGTCAAATTAAAAGTAAGATCGTCGGCCCTTTCGGAGAGGCGGCACTAAATGATAACGGAGCCCTTATCATTGACGTATGTGAGCAAAGGGACATGAAGGTGCTCAATGGGTTCTACCAACACAAGGATATCCATAAAACTTGGGTTCAGTCTACTCGCGGTTTGAAATCAATCATTGATTATGTGGTTGTTAGACAAGACACGGGAATGAAGATTCAGCAAGTTAGAGTGTGGAGAGGTCTTTCCTGCGGCAGTGATCATTATTTCCTCGGGGCGAAAATAGCTTTCCCAGTGAAAGGGAGCCAGGAGACCAGGCAAGCACAGGAACAGGTTCACCAATAAAAAGATCGTGTCAAGCTTGTGAACTATAATATTGACAGCTTGCAGCATCCAAGTGTAAGGGCTTTATATGGAAAGCGTTTGGATGAGAAGTTGGGCGAATCAAGGGACGATGATACAGAACAGCAGTATCAGTTCTTGAAGGATTGCATTCACTCGGCAGCAATGGAGGCTCTTGGTGTCGCTGATGATAGGAAAGTTAGCGAAAAACCTTACTGGTGGGACGAAGAAATTGAGAAGGAGATTCAGGAGAAACGGAAGAAATATCATCAGTTCCTTTCCTCTAAAAAAACAGAAGACAAAGAGGCGTATAAAAAAGCTCAGACGCAGGTACGAAGGCTCATAACCAAGAAAAAGAACGAATCTTGGGAGAGGAGCTGTAACAAAATAGACACGTACATAGGAGGATGGAAAAGCACTGAGAGCTGGAAGTTGCTGAAAGGGCTGCGAAGGGACATGAAGCAGGACTTGATATCTCCGATATCCATTGATAAACTGGAGGGTTATTTTAAAAATTTACTGACAGAAAGGCGACCTGAATTTCAAGATGGAGGTCTAAGCTTGGAGTATACTAACGATAATCATAACTTGGAGATCCATATGGAGGACGTGGTAAAGGCCGTACGAGAGCTGAAGAACGATAAAGGTCCGGGTCCGGGAAATATTCCTGCTGAGTTGATCAAGTGTGAAACCTGAAAGCTGTTTCAACGGTTGAGATACCTGATGCAAGATTGCTTGGACGGTGGAAAGGTTACCGAATGGAAAGAGTCTTGGGTGTCACCTATATACAAGAAGAAGGGTAGAAAGCATGAGTGTGATAACTATAGAGGACTGTCGGTTGCAGGTACCCTAAGCAAAGTGTATGGAAAAATCCTGAAAGCAAAAATCGAAGAGGAGTGGAAAGAACATGAAGCGGAAGAGCAAGCAGGTTTCAGAGCCGATCGGTCAACGATTGATCACTTATTTACCATCATCCACGTCATCGAGAAAAAGAAGGGAGTTGGCCAGGAATTACATCTAGTGTTCGTGGATCTCCAGAAAGCTTACGACAGTGTGCCATTGATGAAACTTTGGGAAGCCTTAAACAAAAGGGGTTTTAGTGGGGGACTAATTAGTGCTATTAAGGAATTTTATGGTGGGGCTTTTTCCAGGGTTAAATCGCATGGGGACTTATCGTTGGGGTTTTTAATTACTAAAGGACTGAAACAAGGGTGTTGTTTGTCGCCAACCTTATTTAAAGTGTACCTGGAAGAAGTTTTAAAGGAATGGAAAAGATGCTGTTCGGGAATGGGCGTCCCGCTACGTGAAGATGGCACCCTTTATACTTTGTGCTTTGCTGATGATCAGGTGGTAATAGCTCAGGACGAAGAAGATGCGAATTACATGACGCGGAAGCTAGTGGAAGTATACCGAAAGTGGGGAATGGAAGTAAATGTGGTTAAGACGGAGAAGTTGGTTATCGGTGGTGATCAGCAAAGCATTGAATTGGAGGATGGTCGGAAAATTCAGGACTGTGAAGAGTATAAATATCCAGGAGTTTGGTTAACTAAGGACGGAAATTTGGATCGGGCTATTAAAGATCGGAATGTGCAAGGCAGGAAAGCTATCGCGATGCTAAATGGGGTTCTCTGGGACCAGAGTATCTTCAAGGAGACCAAACGGAAAATTTACAACGTCATCGTGAAGAGTATCGT